CAAGGAAACAAGAAACTCGGTCTTATAACCACAAGGAACTGAATCTGGCCAACAATTTGAATGAGCCTGGAAGCAGACTTCTCTCGTCTTTGGAAAGGAACACAACCCTGCTGACAACCTGATTTCAACCTTTGAGACTCTGAGAATCCCGCTATGCCATGCCCTGGACTCTTGACAGACAGAGCTCTGTGATAATAAATGTCCCTTGTTTTTAAGCCACTTAAGTTTGTGGTGGTTTGTCACACAGCACTAGAAAATGAATAAAGTGTAACTACCACCCACATGAAGATATAGAATGTTTAGAACATAGAGAATATTTGCAGCATTCCAGTGTTGCCCTTTATATTAAAAATGATTAATACTACTAATACTACTATAGTATTGGACTTTCACAATAGCTCTTCAAAATAACTCATAATTTATCCGTTTTGTAGATAATGAAACCAAGTTCCAGAGACTCATTCAGTCATCATTTTGACATCTGCTCTGTGTCTGGTGCTAGACCAGACTCTGAGAATATAGGGGATGAATAAGATGAGAGTTTAAGTGATTTCTGGTGTCTCCTATTGGAGAGGTAGAGCCAGATATAAACCAGAGCCTCTGACTCAGGTCCAGCCCCTTTTCTGCTATCTCTTACCGTGCTTGGGAGGTGTGGTGGAGGACGTCTTGCTGTTCGGGTTTGTCTGCAGTAGTGGAATCCATCAACTCTCTAAAATCTAAATCCATCCAAATGATGGAATGAATGATGAAATAGTGTTGGATGTTGCTTGGTGAAAATCAGAGTGGTGCCGTTATGGATGAGACGTCACTCTGATGTTGATGTGGTAGTGCAACAAATTGGACAAAGCTATTTTTTTTTTAAAGATTTTATTTATTTATTTGATAGAGAGAGAGTACAAGCAGGGGGAGCAGCAGGGAGAGGGAGAAGCAGGCTCCCTGCCGAGCAGGGAGCCCGATGCGGGGTTCGATCCCAGGAACCTGGGATCATGACCTGAGCCGAAGGCAGATGCTTAACCAATTGAGCCACCCAGGTGCTCTGGACAAAGCTATTTTAAAGACAAGCACTTTCCAGTTGTTGGAAAAAATACTTCATACAGAATACATTTTATTTGGTTAACTTAGAAAATCAAAGGACTCATATCCTACATATAAAATCCAACTAACTGATACCATTTGGGGGTAGGAAGCCCACTCCCACAACTGCATCAGTAGTGTAAGGTTGTGCCTTTGTAGACAGACTACCTTTACCACTAGCTGTCCCTAGAACCCTGGGAAACTTTGGCAAGTCACTCTGTGACATACTTTCTTCACCTTTAAAAGATATTTAGACTAGCCATTATCTGAGGTCCCTTTCAACATTCTTTGAATCTATAGGTATTTCTACCTATACCTATTTTTAGCTTACCTCTGTAAAGTGCTTAGCTTTTAGGGGACTAAAGTATAAAGAAAAAAAAATTAAATTCCCAAGATTTTCTAGGGGGCACTCAAGAGACTCAAACTCAAGCCATGGTAATGACTGTGTAGCCAGGACCTTCTCATAGTCCCAGCCCTTGACAGGGTATCCCTAAACAGCTCCACACATGCTGTCCTCATTTCTTATCTCCCTGAGATGGTACCCAAGTGTTCCTGTGTGTTCCCCAATGCAAGAAATTGTTTGATTCTTTTTCTTCTCCGTCTTGTCTTGTTTTTCCTCTCATGAACTATATACTCCCCTTTGGCCTGCCTTTTACTTTTCTGTTCTATGATAATTCCATGCCATAAAATTAAGGGACATGTGCACTAACATGCACTCACACACACGTCCCACCCTTAATTCACACTGTATCTCTGATCCAGCTCTTTCTGGATAGTATAGGGAAATTTTTTTCTCTGCATTTTTCTCCCGTATTTTGTTCCATTTGTGGCCCAGATAGCCCTCATTTTGGCTAATGAATGACATGGGATGACACCCTTTGGAAGAAAACATAAACTATGGGTTTTAAAGAGAAGCTAACACATTTTAGAGAAGCAGGGACCTTACTTGCAAGTTATCGAAACTATCCCTTCTGATTTTGCATAAAGATCTTCTTACCTGCCTTTATAACCACCTCCAGGAAAACTTCTTCCTTCACCATCAGTATTTAAGATAACTAAAATTAAGTAATAACTCATTTTTGTTTTAAAATTACTTTTATTCCACATGCATAGTATATTAGGGTTATTTATTCAGTTTTAGAGACTTTCATATCTTATGTGAAAATTCCGAGGTTAAAGAAATGCTGACTTTGAAACAACTTCAGACTCCTTAAAGTCTTATTAAAATAGGAAATGTGTTGGGGACGCCTGGGTGGCTCAGATGGTTAAGTGTCTCCCTTCGGCTCAGGTCATGATCCCAGGGTCCTGGGATGGAGCCTCGCATCGGGCTCCTTGCTCGCGTGCTCTCTCAAATGAATATATAAAATCTTAAAAAAAAAAAAAAAAAAAAAAGGAAACATGTTTGTCTCAGCTGACCATAAGAGGGCAATGTAGGTACGTGCATTTCACTTTAAAATTATGCCCTGTTAGGCGCCTGGGTGGCTCAGTTGGTTGAGCGACTGCCTTGGGCTCAGGTCATGATCCCAGAGTCCCTGGATCGAGTCCCGCATCGGGCTCCCTGCTCGGCAGGGAGTCTGCTTCTCCCTCTGACCCTCCCCCCTCTCATGTGCTCTCTCTCATTCTCTCTCACACAAATAAATAAAATCTTTAAAAATAAATAAATAAAATTATGCCCTGTTATCTAGTGCTGCATGTGTAAAGAATTAATGTCAGGTTCAGTAATTGATTTGCTTTGCTTGACTTAACTCTGGTAGTAAATATAATTAACATTTGAATGGAAATGGTAATTGTTTCCTGTGTGATATATACTTTTCTTTATAACATGTATTTGACACAGAAGAGCCGAGTCTCCTGAATTAACCATGGTAAAAATTGTAACTTCAAAATCACTTTTTTTTTTTTAAAAGATTTTATTTATTTATTTGACAGAGAGAGAGACAGCGAGAGAGGGAACACAAGCAGGGGGAGTGGGAGGGGGAGAAGCAGGCTTCCCACTGAGCAGGGAGCCTGATGTGGGACTCGATCCCAGGACCCTGGGATCATGACCTGAGCCGAAGGCAGTCGCTCAACCGACTGAGCCACCCAGGTGCCCCTTTCTTTCTTCCAAGTAAAGTTTTAAAAAATTCTGTTTACCTTTCTGCTTAGGCCCTGAACCTTCAAAGAATTAGCAGATGCCTAAGTTAAAAGATGAAATATGCACTATCTGTCAAATAGGGCATCTTCTTTGAAGAGAATAAAACTAAAATAATTTTGAGTAATAAGAATAATATCAAGATGATAAACTGGAAATAGTCACAAATACGGGGCTCAAATTTAAATCGCTGAGTCGTATAAACATTTGGATTCCGAATTGTGGTTTAACAGGTGAGACTATAGAATTACTGGATTATGATCCAGGTTTGAGCCTTGGGGTGTGCAAGGAAGTGATATAAAATAGTTGGTGATTTTTAAAGATTGTAGATTCAAAATGAATAAGTATACTCCTTCAGGAAAAAAGCCAAAAAGAAAACAGCTGCCATCTACAACGATCTGCTTTTGAGAGATGAGGTAGCACAGTGGTTAGAGCGTGGGCATTGGGACTCACCTGCCTGGATCAGGTCCTGGCTTTGCCACTGACTAGCTCTGGGTCTAGGTCAAGTTGCTTAACTGTTCTGAAAGGTAGGGGTAACAACAGGACCTACCTTAAAGGGTTACCATTAGCATCATATGAGATAATATGTTTAATTGCAGAGTAAACTCACAAGAAATACTCACCATTCCTGTCTGTTTTGAAGCATGTAAAATGTGTTGTTTCCAAGGGAGGTGTTAGGGCAGAAGAGTGTTGACTCTCCCTCTGAAACGTGCTCTGGTGCTTGTGTCCTCACGTGTAGCTAGGCTGCAGCCATGAGTACACACTGCTGCTGCGTTTTATTTTTATTTTATTTTATTTTTTAAAGATTTTATTTATTTGTCAGAGAGAGAGAGCACAAGTAGGGGGAGTGGCAGGCAGAGGGAGAAGCAGGCTTCCCGCCGAGCAGGGAGCCCGATGTGTAGCTCGATCCCAGGACCCTGGGATCATGACCCGAGCGGAAGGCAGACGCTGCACCGAGGCGCCCCTGCTGCATTTTAAATACTGTTCATTGTGCAGAAAGACCTTCTGAGCCTTCTGTGTTGTGGGGAATAATTCTTTAGAGTGTGTGTATTTGGTTTGTTCTCTGTATTAAGTGGTGGTTTTCTGAATTCATATTTGATTATAGGACCCATAGGTTAAAATTTCCCTTTTAATAGGCTGAGCAGGGGTGCCTGGGTGGCTCAGTCGTTAAGTGTCTGCCTTCAGCTCAGGTCACGGTCCCAGAGTCCTGGGACCAAGTCTCCCATCGGGCTCCCTGTTCCGCGGGAAGCCTGCTTCTCCCTCTCCCACTCCCCCTGCTTGTGTTCCTGCTCTCGCTGTGTCTCTGTCAAACAAATAAATAAAATCTTAAAAAAAATAATAGGCTGAGCAACAGTGGACTGATTTTACTATACATATGTCAAGTATGAATTTAAGGTGTTACTTACCTCATAGGCCTTTGTATGAGAAATTTATTCTGGAATAATACTGGACAATACTTATATCTACACATTTCCATGGTTATTTGCCTGCTTTTATTTTTGACTTTGATAAAAACATGCATAATCAGAGGGGAGTGCTCAAAGTCCCCTTTTCCCTTTCTGTCCACCAAGACCCTCACACACATCTCAGATCTTCCTATTTTTGTGCAAAGGAGAACCTTTTGTAGCAAGGGGAAAGTCTGGGATTTCTCTGAGATGTGATGGCAGGAAATGTTACCTGTGTACCAGCAGGCTAACAAATACAGGGGCATAATTTTGTTTCTTAGAGCATTTTCCATGTATGGTTTGTTGGAGGAGACTTTCAGAATATCTTATTTTTTCCTTTTTCTTTTCAGAAACGAACAATCTAGAACTATCTCAAGGCTCAGGAACTTTTCCTTCTGGGTATTATTACAAAGACCAGTGGAGGCCCAGAAAGTTTAAGATGCGCCAGTTTAATGACCCCGAGAATATCACAGAATGCTTACAAAGAAAAGTGGTGTATTTATTTGGTGACTCAACAATCAGGCAGTGGTTTGAATACCTTACTACATTTGTTCCAGGTTGGTACTTTGTATTTTATTTTATAACTCTTTTCCACATGGACAAAACCAGCTTTTTTCACTCCAGTGCCTGAAGAAGGGCATCGGCCAAGGAAGTAGTTATTTCTCTGTGGGACTGAAGAGGTATCCTAACCCTGGAGAGCTGTGTGATGGTTTCTGATCCATGGTGGGGTTGACGTATTGATGAAAGCACTGTATTCTTGTTGAAGTTTCGTACCACAGATTAGCTGTGAGATCTTGGACATGTCATTGTTATCAGGCCTTCATTTCTCCATGTGTGCAATGAGGCAGCTGGATGGTATCACCTTATAGCAGTCCTTTACTTCTGATATTCTGGGCTCTAAAATAGAGGGGGACATTTCCGATTGTTTCTCTCCTAATTCTGTTTGGTCAGACTCCAAGTTTATAATAGATTTAACTGGAAGGAAGCAGCCAAACTGTGGTCCACTTTAATGCATCCATTCAGCAAAGCCTTCCCAGCGTCATCCGTTGGGCATTCCATTGGTATGATTTTGAGATGAGCTGGCTCCTACAGAGAGAGTCTTGGTAAGTCCCAGCATTCTTAGCTTCTGATTTCACTGCTGGGCTCTGGAGTGCTATCCAGACTCAGAATAAAGCCCTACTCACCGGAGGGCCATCCCTTATTCAAGGGCCTTTTCCTCTTTGTGGAAGGTATGTAGGCCGGATGAGGAGGGATGAATCCCAGGTAACAGTACTAAAGACCCTGCTTACAATTTAGAGAGCTGATAAGTAATTCTGTGGGAACTCTTTAAGGGCTGTGTATGGGCAGGGTTTTCCATAAAGCACAATCCCATAGTTCTGAGCTGTTGTTGGTATTTTTTTTTCTCTTTTATTTTTTACATCAACTTAATTTCAGATTTAATTTTTAGAAGGAAAGGAAGAAGTAGATATGATCCCCAAAAGTAGAAAGTTAATTCCAGTTTTGTTTTGCTTGTTTTTTTGAAACAGACGTAGCCGAGTTTAGTCGATAAAGCATACATTAAAAACTAGAAAAAGGGATATAATTTGTATGGCATAATGCTAAACATGTTTTGGTGCTGACTAAGCAGGGCCCTCCAGGAGTCTTTAGTTGTTTGTTTCTTAAGTTCTAATGACGTAGCTCATTATTTCCTCTTATAGCAGTGATCACGTTGGGTGTCTTGATTGTTTTCCGCTATATCCTTTGCAGACAGATTTTCACCTGATAAAGCCTTGTGTCAGTGCTTGATCTTAATCAAAAGAAAAAATGATAGCTTGAGTTTATTCAGCTTAAGTGGGGCCAAATGCTAAGTAGTAATGAATTAGGAAATTCTAGAAAAGGAGCCTGGGACTGCTTGGAGAGAAAAGTGACACCTTTAACCCTTAAAAAGAATGTAGGCCAATTATAGTATGATGTTACTTCTTCAGAATTGACAGTATACCTCTTGAGAGCCAGGACTGTGACTTACGCATCTGAGCATTACTGGCTCATGGCACTGAATAGGTGCTTAGAAGTGCTAATTGACTTGGGTTGCCAGAAGTTACTTGGTTTGTTCTCTGAAAGGCACTTGTAGGAACATTTAAGTATATGAGACAGGCCCTCTTTCCTTATGGGGCATATGTTAAGTGATGAATTGTAGAGACAGAGTTTTTTAGGGGTAACAAAAGAGAAACAATCACTGATTCCTGGGACCGTCAGAAGATCTCAGAGGAGCTAGACTTTGAAACACCACTTAGTCTTTGTTATTCTTGTGACGGAGAAAGACATTCTCTAAGACACTAATATGATTTTGCATCCATAGGGTGAAATCGAAAGTCAAAATAAACAGGGTTGCCCCTTTCTTTCATGTATTGCAAAAAGAAGTATTTGGTTACGTTTATGCATTCTTAAAAAAGCAGAAGTTATAGCCCTTCTCCTAGAAGAAATAATGTTTGTCTATTAGAAGAATAATGTGTAAATGCCAAGTTGATTTTTAGATATTCAGCAGTTGGTGTAAACAGGAAGATTTCTTGGCCTAATGCTTAGTTATTTTGCTTCTGAGGTATATAGACATAGGTATCACTGATAGTTTAATAAATACGTTAGAATACAGGTCTATTGAGGCCAGTGAAATAGGTATTCCCTTTACACTTGTACCATTTCATTACACTTTTATTTGAAAAAAATGTTCTTTTAAGCTGCTAAGTATAGAATGATCATAATATATGTACTTGGTTTGAACATTTTTATGAATTTGAGTTTTCCTTGTTTCAGATTTAGTGGAGTTTAACTTGGGTAGTCCCAAGAATGTGGGTCCTTTCCTTGCGGTGGACCAGAAGCACAACATCCTGCTCAAATATCGCTGCCATGGTCCACCCATCCGTTTTACAACCGTCTTTAGCAATGAGCTCCATTATGTGGCAAATGAGCTGAATGGCATCGTGGGCGGGAAGAACACCGTGGTTGCCATAGCTGTATGGTCTCATTTTAGCACCTTCCCCTTGGAAGTGTACATCCGGCGGCTCAGGAATATCCGTCGAGCAGTGGTCCAGCTCCTGGATCGAAGTCCTAAGACCGTGGTAGTCATCCGAACAGCCAATGCCCAAGAGCTGGGGCCTGAGGTGAGCCTTTTCAACAGTGACTGGTACAACTTTCAGCTGGACACCATCCTTCGGAAGATGTTCTCAGGGGTTGGAGTGTATCTTGTTGATGCCTGGGAGATGACCCTGGCTCATTATTTACCCCACAAGCTACATCCAGATGAAGTTATTGTGAAGAACCAACTGGACATGTTCTTGTCCTTTGTGTGCCCCTTGGAGACCTAGCCTGCCCTGGAGGGGACTGGAGGACTCGTATTACCTGCAGTACAGGAAGTTTATGGCTGGCCCCATGGAGAGATGGCTGCTATTGACATGAACACAATTTCAAAAGGAACTGGACTTTATATAAGACTTATAAGGAGCTTAGAAAATGCAGGATGCATTTATGTCTACCTACAGGATTTTTTCCAATCTTTACATAGCCATGGGAGAACCATTATTAACAACATCTACGCATTGTATTGCCCTTGTAACCAAAGATGCTAGTGAGTGTGTTTGAATTAGCCTCTCCTGAGAGGGGAGATTATTATGCTAAAAACTGTGAAAAGTGTTCTGACCTAAGTGGTTGGTAGTGGAGTGTTTGTAGCTTATCTGGTAAAGGAGATTGAGCTTATCTGTATGAATAGCACAGTTGTTCCATCTTTGGTGGGATGAACTAATAAGGCTTCTGGTCAGTGGCTCCTGTAACACACTGGGGACTGCTGTGTCTCAAGAGTTTCTTTCAGTGATCCATCTTTTCTGAATTGCTTGAATAGGCCAGTATCCTTGGTCAGAACTTTCTAGTGAGAATATTTACAATATCTTGCTTTTATCTAGAAAAGAAGCAAAAGGAAAATATGAAAGCAGTACACAAAATCTGTGTGTCGAATTGACACTTGCACTGGGGGATAGTTACTTATTTCAGTTAAATTTTACATGATGAATACTTTAATCACTTTTGGAACTGGAAGGGGGAATCTATAAATGGAAATTTATTTTTGTGTTTTGAAGTTTGAGGGTTTTAAGAACTGAATTTTATGTAAAGAATGCTTTTGTTTATTATAAAGTTGTAGAAGTTACTTCCATCAATTTCACGTGTTTCTTTTTTGGTGGTTATTTTGAATCGCATACCAACATTAGAAATTAAAATCTAATTAGAATCTAAAGTTCGATAATTGAGATCTAGAACAGGTATTTATTGATTTGAATGTAAGGTATACACAATCTCTCATGTTTGGAAGTAAAAAGCTGCCATTCCTACTCGCTATCTTAAAATAATTCAGTTACTGATTTTACTTGACTGTCTTTACCTTATTAATTTTAAATGAGTTTAGGTTAACTTGGGGCCGTTTAGTAAGTATAAGTACTCTTTTCTGAGCCACAATAGATTGCAATCTAGTTTTAGTTATCCCTAAATGGACACATGAAGAGACTGGGGAAGCTTTAGAGATGAAGACAGATGCTTAAAGCGTGAAAAAATTTGGAGTTTTAACTTAAAATGGAGAGTGTAAGATCTTCCTTTCTTAGCCTTGAGGGCCACCTTCAAATTTATAAAATACACATATGGGGAAAGAAGATTTTAAATTATTTTCTGAGTCTAAAGAGGACCAACAAGTAGATAAAAATATTAAGATAGTTTAATTTTAATGGTCTTTAAGCTTTAGAGTGTCTGAGAATCACCTGGAATACTTGAGAAAAATACAGACTTAGGGGTCATGTTTCATGCTTCTGGGAATTGTGGAATCAACCTTTGTTACAAGTGTCCAGTGATTCTGACGCAATGGTAGTATTCTACACTTTGAGAAATGCCAACTAAGGGAAGAAGGAAGATAGAACTAAGGAAATGATATTGCTTGTCTATTATTTCAGGGGCTTAATCCCTAACATTTAATTCTGATCATGATCTAGTAGTGTAGGTGATGTTAGGTACCTTTTATAGATGAGGAACTCGAGTTTGGATTTGAACCAAGGTATGTGAGAGTACAGAGCCCTTTTCAACTATACCTTGTTGGACTTTTACAAAGAGAGATTCTCTTTTTCACAAAAGAACTTTTTAAGCATTTTCTCAAAGATTGCTGGAGGAGGCTGAGGCTTCATCTTCTCAGGAGAATTTCAGTTTCCACTGCCTCTCCAGGGCTTTGGAGTGATGCTTTTTTTTTTTTTTTTTAAAGATTTTATTTATTTACTATTAGAACAAGTAGAAGGAGAGGCAGAAGGAGAAGCAGACTTCCCGCTTGAAGCAAGAAGCCTGATGCAAGACTTTGATTCCAGAACCCGTGGGATCATGACATGAGCTGAAGGCAGACGCTTAACTGACTGAGCCACGCAGACAGCCCTGGGTGGCTCCCTGAACAACCATCATTTTATTAAATACCAATTGACTGACATTTCCTGGCTTCAGGTATTAAGTTTCAGATTGATACATTAGGGTGTAACAAGAATATTTGGTAAGCCTTTACATATCCATATTACATGCCAGAGATGACTCTGTTTCTGAGCCCTATTAAAGGAAAAAGCAATTACTGAGAGAAGTACAGGGAAATTAACACCTGCATCCCGCCCCCCCCCCCCCCCATTTGAGAGAGAGGAGAGAGAACCAGTGGAGGGAGGGGCAGAGGGGGAAGGAGAGGGGGAGAGAGAATCTCTCAAGCGGACTCCACACTGAGCTGGGAGCCCCACACAGGGCTGGATCTCTCACAACACTAAGATCAGGACTGAGCCACCCAGGCACCCCTCATATTTTGCTTTAATAATAGTCTCCATTAAATGAGAGGAAGTCAGGAAGAAGGATCTTCTGTTAAAGTTTTAAGGACCTTCTGGTGTTTAGCTCTAGATGCCCATTCCTACTGGAGAATCAGACATTTCCAGTCTAATTATAAAGCTGGATTTTAACACTGCAGAGGGTGGGGGGTTGGGAAGCAGTACAGGGATTACAGTTGTAAGTGTCCCAAAAGGAAAAGGAGTCACAGTGAAACCAAATGTCATAGAAAAAAATCCTTTCAGTGTTATGCAATAGTTCACATTCTCTGTTTAAATTCACCCCACTCTATCCCCTGCCCCTGCCCGCGTGAAAATAACATGATCTTATTATAGAACCACTGCTTTATTTATGTCTCAGAGTATCCTTTGTCATTGAAGGCACATGATTGCGATACTACTTTTTGATTGCCATGGTTTGAAAAGCTGTGTTGTAGAAAGTATCAACTCCCCTCCCCCTTCTTTTTTTTTTTTTTTAAAGATTTTATTTATTTATTTGAGACAGAGAGAGCACATGAGAGGGGGGAGGGTCAGAGGAAGAAGCAGACTCCCCGCCGAGCAGGGAGCCCGATGCGGGACTCGACCCCGGGACTCCGGGACTCGACCCCGGGACTCCAGGATCATGACCTGAGCCGAAGGCAGTCGCTTAACCAACTGAGCCACCCAGGCGCCCGTTCCCCTCCCCCTTCTTGAAAACCTGCAGAAGAAAAGCTAAATAAAAGAGAAGGCAAGGGGCGCCTGGATGGCTCAGCCGTTAAGCTTCTTCTGCCTTTGGCTCAGGTCATGGTCTCAGGGTCCTGGGATCGAGCCCCGCATGGGGCTCCCTGCTCGGTGGGAAGCCTACTTCCCTCTCCCACTCCTTCTGCTTGTACTCTTTCTCCCTGTCTCTCTCTCTGTCAAATAAATAAAGTCTGAAAAAAAAAAAAGAAGAAGAAGAAGAGAAGGTGAATCAAATGAGGGAGAAACGCTAACGCCCGGTGTGGATTTATTGAGATTTAAAAAAGGCATCCCTAAGAAAAATGTTCTGTTTTTAGATTTGTTTCTGATTCTTCTGCGGGATTCCAGTCCAGGTCTTGGAGCCGGCCCTCGAGGGGAATGTCCGGGACTCGGGCTGGTACCTTTTTGGCTTGGGAATTTCCAATATGCAGAAAAAAAATCCACAAACCTAGGCCTTGCTGCCCCCTCCCCGCCTCCTCCGCCCGTCCTCCGTGCCCACGCAATCCCTTTCGAGCGGCCGCTTGATTGTATTCAGTATTTTAGAAAATAGGTCCTTAGCTTCCCCCGCCCCCATGCTCTCTAGAGAGCTGAACAGAAAGCGGACGCTATAAAAGGGGACGGGGAGGAGGGGCTGGCCTCTTCTTGCCACGAGGTCAGACGCCGAGTTTTGGAGAAAAAGGCTGCTTAACTGCTGCTGCTTATCATGTAACCTCAAAAGGAAACTGATCATCTTGCTCATGCTCTCACGTACTTGGGTTTATTATCGCTGATTACAGCTGGAAACAATTGATTTGCCTTTACGTATTTCTATGACTTGGCTCTTCAAACACAAAGGTATATTTTTATTATTTGATATTTAGTATGAAAAAGTATCTTAAATGCTAAGCTTCTCCCCCCATATTCAGATTCTTTTGAAATCACTCTCTGATATTTGGGTGATCATACTTGTTTGGGGGCAAAATATTGAGGGGCAGTTTTTTTTGGGAAATAAACTGGGATATTAGCTTGGTAATAGCTTGGTAATAGCCATGAATCGCATCTGTTTGGTAATAGCTTGGTAATAGCCATGAATCGCATCTGTTTGCTTTGAAAGATCAGGAAGGACTAAGATGCTGATGGAGGAGGTGGATAGAATGCCTGATGGAAGTACCATAAATCTGATATAACAATTTATCTTTAGTCTGTGATGTAGAACTATGATACTCCAAGGCAGAAATCTCCCGGGTTTGAGTGTGGATTTAGAGGTATACTTTCTCACTCATTTAATGCCCTCATTAATTCTTATGTTACCCCTGTAAAATAAAAGACAAGTATTACAAGACAATTTTATGAATGAGGGAACCCCTGAAATTTGATGACATGGCTGGACCCCCAGATTTATGACAATCTGTATAAAGTATTTGAAGGAATTCTGTGTGAATAAAAATACATTTCTAGGTAGGGTGGATTAGAGATTCCACAGGGATTAGTGGATTTGTAAACTGGCTGTCAAGGGGAGGGTGTGTCCCAAAGAGGATGACATTTATTATGTACATTTTAAGCACTTGGTGCTTATAAATTCCCCCACTTTAAATCTGCCATCTAAAGAAATGTCTGGGCAGGTGACATTTTTTTTTTTTTTTTTTTGCTTTAGATAGTAGGTTGTTTAGACAGTAAAAGGAGAGAAACATTTGCAAGGCTTATTCACTACCCTCAATGATCTCTGATAGAGGAGTGGATCAACCAAACAGATCATCTAAACATGAAGAGAATCCTGAAGTGTCTTTATTTGGTTTCAGGATACAGTGTATGATCTCCATTTTGCTTATGTTAAAGACACAGTTGGGCAGGGTACAGGTGAAGAGCCCTGGGGCCACAGAAGTGTCAGTCTGGGATGAGTAGCACAAGAAATCAGTGCACAGCACATATAATGTTAGATGTTAGGCAGCATCCTTTCCAGCCCAGAGGTGGTGACCATGGTCAGCATAATTTAGCTGCCCAGATGCAGACTCTTCCTTACTGAGGAAAGGATGCAAACCTTTCTTCTTTTACTTTGGCTGGAAGAAGTCCTGCTCTCAGAAAACCAAAGAAACCCTCTCAGAAGTTAAAGAGCCTGCTAATGAGGGAGTGAATTGTTCCTGAGAAAATCATTTCCCTTTGGCTTATAGCTGACTGATCTGGTGGCTTCTTGATTTCTCCCCCCCAGGTTAACAGGAAGATCAGGAGGCTGAACTTGGCCTGATGCTGAACGCCTGAGGGTGAGAAAGGCAGATAATTCTAACCAAGTGGGGTGTAAATGTTACCTTGACCTTGGCTGATGTAGTCAAAATGGGCAGTGGGATGTTTTCTAAAATTTCTAAGATTCTTGGATCTCTTAAATCAATTTTTGAAGTTGCCTCAGTTACTGTGAATTTTCCTTAGGCATTGTATGTGATTTCTTGTGAACTAAGATATTTTGGTGGTTTAGTATGCTTTAACCAGTTTGAATTTCCACTGTTTTCTATGAGAGGAGAACACATGAATACCTCTGAGGGGGGAATTCAGCTCTCTGCTGACTGGCAGTTTCAGAGTTATGTAATCTTTAACAGACTCCCAGAGAATACCATGCCCCCTCTGGTTTTGGTGAAACCGCTCATTAAAGCTAACATATG